AACAAAAAATCAGTACATATTTGACAATGACATTTCGTACTCGCATTCGATACGACTTCGATATTGGTTCGTGCTAAGGGTACAGATAGCCAAACGATATCATTCTTGGGGTCGACACCAAATGAACAGTGGTTCGGACCTGAGCTCGGTATTTTTTTTAATTGTTTTATTATTATTTTTTCTTTTCGACGACAGTGGCCGAGTGGTTTGTAGGCTAGGTTTCATGGTGTCGCCGACTCGAGAGGTCCCGGGTTCAAATCAAGGTGGGGGCAGATGTTTGTGTGATGAACACGAGCATTTGTACTCCAGTCATGGATGTTATATATGTACTGTATATGTATTCTATCCGTTACCCTAGCATCCCATAACACAAGCCTTACAGTGCTTACTTTGGGCTAGGCTAATTGGTGTGAGTGTTGGAAATATTTATTTATTATTTTATTAAGCTATTATTCATTTTTCGAAATAATTTAAGTATAAATATTTAATTTTGATCCAGAGAGTTGGATTTTAACACAAGAGTTGTCTTTAAGTCATGAAGGACTTTTGCATGAACACATTTTGTAGTCACTTCTATCGCATGTGAACAACACATGTCCGTTTTTTTTGATGAGACCTTATACCAAAGTTATATTGTTAATGTGACTTTGCAAGGAGTTGGGTAGGAATACTGATGTGATGAATAAGGAATTTAAAATGAAATAATTTTGAGGGTTGAGTAAGGAATGTAAACAGGTTAAGTAAGGAAAAAATGATGAATATAGAACACAATTCTCTTAACCTCGAATCATATCTGACAGTAATACCTATATCCTTATTGTACTCTAAAGAATTTAAAATAAGGTCTATGGTTTAATTTTGTTTTCATTTTACAAAGAATCGTGCCATAATTAGACCCATATTACTATTGTAGTCATAGGTCTCCGTCCATCTGGACACTTGGCGTTTTACTTTTGAGGGTTGAGTAAGGAATGTAAATAGGTTAAGTAAGGAAAAAATGATGAATATAGAACACAATTCTCTTAACCTCGAATCATATCTGACAGTAATACCTATATCCTTATCGTACTCTAAAGAATTTAAAATAAGGTCTATGGTTTAATTTTGTTTTCATTTTACAAAGAATCGTGCCAGAATTAGACCCATATTACTATTGTAGTCATAGGTTTCCGTCCATCTGGACACTTGGCGTTCTATGACTATGCGATACGCGCGTTCATTTTTCTTGCATTCCAACACGATCTGGAATCTGGATTGAACTTTCCGCAACGGATTTTCCTTTCAGGTATGATATGGCGGTTTTCAAAAGAGGAGTAAACCTTTTCTCCTTCATAGCCTGCAGGCTGAGTGGTACTCTTGGTGCTGCAAATGTTCATGGACGGCAGTGACTACTATCAGAACATAAAAAATAAGGTTCTGACATCAAACATTAAAATGTTCAGGTCCCCAGCTTGTCCCAAAGCAACATTCAAAACTTTAAATGTCTAACAGATTTGAATAAAAAAAACGAGTGTGCTTATGCCCACACGACTAAAGTGAAACTTCTTTAGCACCATCTGTATATATGTCGCGGTGTTACCCGCGGTTGATTAGGGATATTTTGCCGCAGTAAAATGTAGCCTATGTGTTGCTCCGGGGTTTCAGCTAGATCCATACCAAATTTTAAAAGTCGCTCCAGCCGTTTAGACGTGATGGAGTAACAAACATACACACTCACACACAAACTTTCGCCTTTATAATATTAGTGTGATATATGTGTGTACAATATATACATGTATGTACATATAAATATATTTCATTTACTAGCTATAAGAGAAAGAGAGAAAGAAAATGTGCGCGCGCACTGCTTTCTCTTGCTTATATCTCCCACTCAACTCCCGTTTGAATCGCCCGAACACAGTTTTTGTAACGCGTAATGCATTCGCTAGCTTACCCCCTAGTCACGTGCGTATAGAAGTTTCACTTCAAAAAAGAAGTATGATACCGTCCTGGTTAGTGTGTTCCGTTCTGCTCCACATCAAGCTGCTGGTCGTAGCTGCATCTGCAGTCGTTTGCAACTTCGTACAAAGCCCATACAGCAGTGCTATTCTGTAAGGAGGAGCTCGATAGCGCAAGTGGTTAGCGCGTTCGGCTGCGATCGTTGAATTTAAGCAACTTTCGCAGAGGTCTATCATTGGATGGGTGACCAAAAATCTTCTGTCTCGAGTTCCTCCGTGCTTCGGAAGGCATGTTAAGCCGTTGGTCCCGGCTGCATCTGCAGTCGTTAGCACCCGCCAATCCGCATTGGGCCATGGCCCTATCTCTCTATTCCATCCATAGGGAAGGCCTGTGCCCCAGCAGTGGGGACATTAATAGGCTGATTACGATGATAATTCTGTAAACACAAACTCAATTTTCTCCGTGGGATTAACAAGTGTGATTTGAAATTGATTTGAGATTCATGTTCTAATTATAAATCACACCACGGATTCGGAGATGACAAGTGAATTTGTTCCTATGCCTCAATTACATTTGGTCCTTAGCCCGTATTCGGGTGCACGAAAGAGATTACTCAAATTCCGGCACCCGAAGGAATATTTACGCTGGAATACCGGCTTGAAGACGGTGTCGGGTAAACAAAAGAAAATACGGTCGTGCGCGTCTCCGTTCATTTACACCCGTTTTCGAATTCCATTGGCACTCATATTCGGGCTAAAGACCAAGTGTAATCGCGCCATTAGATTAAAGCACTGCTATTTCGTAGTGGTAGGTTTTCGTCAGTTCTAGTTTTAGTTTTACTCCAAGTCTTCATCTGTGCCGGTACAAAATTTTATAGGAACTTAGGCTATAAGAAGTCTTTGCTATACAAAACTTTAAATAAAAAAAGCTTCAACGGTTTGAAGGCTTTAGTCACTAATAAATCAAATTGTTTATTATTAACAAAATAGTGTAAGTATTGAAATAAAAAAAAACGGTCAAAGTTTCAAAATACTTCATGATGTCAATTCGTCATTTCTACGTCAATTCTGACGTAGAATTGACCTCAGAATGAGAAAGGATGCGAAACGTCAAGAAACAAATAAAAAAACGCATTGAAACCGTTGAAGATTTGTTTTATGTAATGAGTGGTCTGCGTGAAAACCTAAGAAACAAATATACGCATATATGATTCCCTATTTTATAGGTTTTTGTTATATATAAAGATATGTCCGACAAATGACTCCACCCCACCTGATGTTAAGTGACGGTGAAGTCCAGAAGCGAAGATAGCTGATACAGCAGTTCTACCTGCCACACCACCCATCCCCACCTTGCCGGCCTGCATGTTGCTTCTTCAGTTGTAGTTGTTTCATTCAAAACTGTCCCGCTGTAATCGCTTTCACTATCTGCAGAAAATACCCGATATCATGATGTTCCAATATTATCTCCTGCGTGTTAGCATGGGAGAGCAAAATAATAACTGACGAACGAAAATTCACAGTTCATAACGGAATCACTTTGAGGGACGATTATCTCAAATCCTGGCGCAGTCAAACATTCCCCAATGGCAGGTGTCCAATACGACGTTGAAATTACGATTAATCATCTGCGAACGGGGAGTAATCCCTTATAACAGCAGTGACGTCATAATGTTTGGGTTTTGGCGGAATATGTAACGCGAAGGCAAATACGGGGGCTATTTGGTAGCCTTTCATGTAAATCTCTTAGATAAAGGGTCGTGTGTTGCTTTTCTTTAAAAAGGTAGGAATTTAAATTTATAGAAAATTGCAAAGGACACTGCTGTATATTTTTTGCATTGAAGATATTTAAATCTTTTAAAGCTTGTTGATGTATAATGCTAAGTAGTAGTGGAGACAAGAACTAAAGATATTATATTAAGATCTAACCTAAAGTCGAATAGTTTTCATCTTATGAGAGCATAGTTGTTAAATCAGTTATGAGATATTTACAAAAAATGGAAAATGATTATGATGATGATGATGAAAGAAAAAAAAAACAATGAAGCACCATACAACATCATAAATAATAAAGAAATTCCGGAAAATTTTATAAAGGTTACTAGCTGTCCTAGCAAACTTCGTATGTGTGTGTATGTATTTTTGTATGATGTATCATAAAAAAATAAAAACAAAAAATAATTTTACATATGTAAAAATCTATAGAGCTTGCTTATGGTTTGTATGATACTAAGAACACTTTTGGTGGTAGAACTATGCAACACAATCCAAATTCCAAATTCTACAGAACCATACAACCTAGATGCACCTAAATTTTCTCAAGAACACCACATATTGCCTTGTAGAGCACTTTAATTTGAAACAGGAGCAGAGCAAATCGAATTAAATTGTCAAGGCGACTAGATAAAAGAAAATTTGTGGGGCACTGAGTATTCCCTTCAGCACGAAGCCTTCTTTTGCGATCGACCAAACTGTATCGACTTGTGTCTAGTATCGATTTCAGTTACCACGGCTATCAGGGTTCAGCATATCGTGGTTTGCACACACACATGTTCCCGTTATTTCCTAAGGGGCGTCTGCGTCGGCGGTTTCAGACATCGTCCATCGTTTTAAATTAGGTACCTCCATTGTCTAGGCTTTCTACCTTTTGTAATACAAATGTGTTTTATTGTTTTAAACTTTCATGGTCACTAATATTATAGTAATATATGTTATTTTCGGGATTGTTACCATGTACCTTGTTTTAGCGAGTTTCCGATATTTCGGCACTGTTGCAAGCGCCATGATCACGGAGTAACTCCTAAAAACAAGGTACATGGTAACAATTCCGTAAATAACTTATATAACTATAACAATTGCGTTTGTTTTCTTTGAAGATATACTCTTGAAAATAGTCTAATCAACATGAAGTTTTTATGAAATTTGACATTTTTTTTTATTTTAATACTAATAAACAATTTGATTTATTATTGACGAAAGCGAAATAACCATTGAATAAATTTAACATTTCATAAGAATTATATGCATTAAAAATCAACTGATAAACTGATACTCGTGTTGCAGATGTCTATGAGCGATGTTGATCATTTATCATCAGGTGAGTCGTTTGCTCGTATGCCCTCTATTATATAAAAAAATATACAATACTTGCAGTATAAGTTAATAATGCATGTTGCTCAGACTTCTTCGATGTTTAGTTGAATGAACTACATATTATTAACTATTCATATTATTTTAAAACTATGCTAGTGAGTACTATTATTAAATTACTTCATTTTAACAACCTTTTTATGCCTCGTTTATTCAAGTCTCGTGCAAATGAGAACATAAACTATGCATCAAACTTACAGTAGACCTGAAAAAATACTTTTTTGTGTCAATTCCCATTAGATTCGAATTTGTTCCTGCAAAAAGAAAGCTGCAACTTACAGTTTTAACAAAAAACATTCTTGTTGTTAATTTTAGTTTAGGTGAAGCGGTACCCTATGAACAAAACATACAGGTGGTGGAACATGGAGAAACCAACTGGTCCAACTAATTTGAAAAAAGTATTTGATTAACCTATGAGAAATAATGAATAACAGAAAAATAATAATCTGAAATTATTTTATATCCAGAACCTTAATACAAAATCACTGGTAGGTAAGTTTTACTAACTTTATTTTTTCGTTCAACTTATTTTATGCGGTGTCGTGCAAACTTTGATGTCTTCACCGGTAAATATCGATTCGGTTTTGTTCATTGGTTATTTTTTTCGTTCGTTCAGTTTTCCGTACCAAGCTGAGTATTCGGTGGTGTTTTCGGAGTTTGTGATTTTTTCGTTTTGTTTGTTTGATTTTTGAACTGGAGTTTTGCTGTTTTCGTTGACGTAAACGTGAGTGCGAAAAGTGTTTTAAAAATGGTTGGGTTAGATGTGAATGTATGTGCAATCTAAATTTGAGATTTAAATAGAACACATGTTTGACATGTTTTTTTCAGTTTATAATAACTGAATTTGTCTGTAGCATAAAATATGATGAGTAAAATTGAATGTGCAATCTGAATTTGAGATTTAAATAGCACACGTGTATTTTTTCAGTTTATAATAACTAAATATGTGACTGTCTGTAGCATAAAATATAATAAGTATATATTTAATACAAGAACAATAAGGTTTTACGCTAATTTGATAGTAACCAAATGAAACATATTTTTAATTTAACTTCCATTAATTGGCTTGCGCTGATATTTTCCAAGAAATGCTTTTTTCAAATTATTTTGCTGTAGACTTATTTAAAATATTTAATTTCTGCTTAATTTTGCGTTTAATGCTAATTTTATTATCTCAGAACGTTGTTTCTTTTCATTTATATTTCCTGATAAATAAAAAAATCCAAAGCAAATTCAAACTTTCCCTATTACTTACCTTGACAGGTTTCAACCAAAAGGGTGAAGTTGTCAAGGGGAGGTACTCTAATCAAGAATCAAAACAATTACGCTCTAGTTCGGGTGGCAATCAACGCATTCCATCACACTGGTTTTGGGGTGACCAAATTGCAAGAAAGTACGTCAGGACTTTAATCTCTGGAACTATTGAAAAAACAGATTATGATTTCCTTTCCAAACAGCACTTTAACGCACCATATATATATTGGACACAATTGATATACTAACTAACAAAAATAAAATAGGTAGGTATTCATTCTTTTTCGTTGAAATTGTGTCTACTTGGAAAGACAGTAACAAGGTGAACAATCCCAAAGTTTCCACAGCTGTACTATGTCGTCAATGTGGGACAAACGACAATTGACAAGTTAATAAATATTAATTCTAACAATCACACCAATTAGCCTAGCTCCAAAGTTCTTATATAAAATTATAGTATAATAAGTTGTCAAATTTGTATTAAGGTATATTAGTTTTTAGTCTAACCACATTTTGTGGTTACCCTAGTTCAAAGAGATATCGGAACAAAACAGGTGTCTTTGGTTAAATAGAGGCCGAATCGACCCTCAGATTAAGCAAGTTTATTTATTCACTAGATTGTAACTTTGCTCACTAATAGAGGCAGCAAATAGTGGTCCTTTGCTAAGTTCCATATCGTTTTACCGAGGAATTGGTTACTTTAGAGGTTCTTAGTTCGGTTGTTGATAACGGTAAAGTTCAATATTAAAGATATTTTGCATAAATGCCTCCATTGGATAAATGTCGTGTTGTAACAGGTCCGAAAGTGGATCTTTGAAACGTAACAATAACGCTTTCTTAGGTTTCCCAGAATCCTAAACATTTATGACAAAAGTTCGCCTTTCATTGCCTTAATGATCATTCTGAGATCATTTTGAGGTATCAGTGTCCATCATAAATTTTGATTGAGGGCGTATAAGTATTATTATAATAATGGTTTTTATAGTATTATTAATAATACATTTACCCTTTTAATATAAAACACATAAACACTTTGATAAGTACGCTTAACAAATAAGAAGTGGTACGTACTGCCCAAAACTGCGCTGTCCGGCCGGACGCACAAACCAACTGTGCTACCGACACATTATTTACTGTGAAAAGTTTCAAGTCATTTTATAGATTTAAGGTCTCAGTAGGACAGTTAGTGACACGTCAATGATAATTACCGAGCTATTGAGTGATCCACTACTGCTTTAATAAAAGTTTATAATGCCACTAAGATACTTGTTCTGAAAACCATCGATGAATATGCACTTTTCTCTATAGTTACTAGAGATGGGCCGACTAATCGGGAAAGACGACTATTCGGCATCGTTTATAGTCTTTCGTTTATATCTTAAATCATGAACTATCTTATTGTACCTGATTATGAGACATTGCTTTTCTTGGCAGTAACTACGATATATTTTTATTGCGAGTGCACCATAATTTTTTAAAACATTTTTGAGCAATTTTATTATTAGAGTAACGTTTAAAGTAGCGAATTTGTGTACTTAGTTTTATATGTATAAGTACGGATGCTATTTATTGTTATTGAAATAATTGATGAATACAGTATAGGAAATAATGCTGGAAGCAAGTGATTTTAAAGACAATTACGAAGGTAAAATTATATGCTATATTATTTCTAAAATTAGGGGACTTCTGAACTGCAAAGTGAATTTTCAAAAGTAACAAAAACAGTCCCCTCCCGTATACCTCAATTATATAGGACCTCAACCCCATAGGCGTGTTTTTATCAGGAAATAATACCGAATGCGTTTTTGCTATAATGTGCCCTACTTCTGCAATATTGCATCGTTATTATCGCAGCAGTGTGTTACTTCATAGGCGTCCTAATGTTGGTGGCTTAAGCGGCCTACTGACATCCCTGTCGCAGGGACAATATAGGGGGCACGGCGGTCATGCCTGCTATTCAGTGTTGGGGGGTATGTTAAGCTAAACACACGCGTTGATGATGGTCCCAGTGTTCTTCAAAAAATCAGAAGATCGGTAGGTAGGGCCTTGGCTCTTTCTATGGTGTTACCGCAAAAAAGGAAATACTAGGTGAAGAATTTGTAACAGAAAGAAAAGTATTGTAAACAAATAATGTATAAATTACTAGAAAAAAATCGTCGCGGACCTGACAGCAGACGGGACTCGAACCCACACCCTTCTAACCGGGCGAATACCTATTATGCCACCGCGGCCCTGACGGCCGTATCGAATTCTCATCTCTTCGCATTGTAGGTGAACCACAATATTAAATGAAAATCTTTACAATTATTAAACACTAGTGGCCCGCCCTCGCTTCGCTTCGGTGTAGAGCTGAAGTGTAGACTACAGTTTTTAATTTGTTCTCGGGCTTGTATTATACATAATGACATTCATCTATGATTCTTCTTATACCTGCATGCAAAGTCTCAGCCCGATCGGTTTAAAATTGACAAAGTTACAAACAAACTTTCATTCCCTATTTTATCCCTTTGGGGGTAGAATTGATCAAAATCCTTTCTTAGCGGATGCCTACGTCATAATATCTACCTGCATGCCAAATTTCAGCCCGATCCATCCAGTGGTTTGGGCTGTGCGTTGATAGATCACTATATCAGTCAGTCACCTTTGAGTTTTATATATAATTTGAAATCTGTGATTTCAAAGAAGAAATAGCAATTGAAGTTATAATTCTAATTTATTAAGCATGTAACTGGTCGATGCTTGAATCTAAAGAAAAAATTATAAGAAAAAAAAAACTATTTCTATTTTCCTAGTAATATTTTCTTTAGATTTAAATATCGAGCAGTTACAAGCTTAAAAAATAAAAATTATAAAATAAATATATAAATAATGTTTGTTTTTTTATCCCACATGTGGGAGCCTTTATATACTCCTATCACTCGAGACCAAACTTCATGCCTATTATGATCTACCGCCATCTTGATCGAAATACGTGCCCTCCGTATGATAGTTACCAACCAACTGATTGAGAAATTGCCCCAATCGCGCTACACACGTGGCAACGTGCAGTGCGGCAGGGACAATCTAGGGCCCAAGGGTGGTCTCGCACTCCTGCCGCCCTGCCGCAGGCCCGAGTTAGAAAATTGCCCCTGCTATCACAATTAAGGAGGCAATTAAGGGTCAACCCCACTCTTACACCCTAGATTGCCTCTGCGGCAGGGATGTCAGTAGTCCGCTTTAGGCATAATGCGATAAAATTTGCGTTCGCGATTTGAATTACCTACTTCTGTCGTAACCATGAAGTTATATATATCTTTGTGGAGGGTGCACTCAGAACAAAAAAGTGAAGTCAATTTTACTGACCCTATAAATGTTTTATATCCTTCCCATCTCATATTTCTATCCTACTCACAGCTTATGTAAAGTTGCCATTTTAAATTAAAAGAGTCCCAAATAAAAAGATTGATGAGCGAAAGTGAAGCGTAGTAATAAGTAATTTATTGATATTTTGAATAATTTTAATTAAAGACATCATAAATATTATCAACCCCTCTTGAAAACATGCTTCAGGCTTATATTTAAAGAAAACTATCTCTTACATCCCTAAATATAGCTATAGTTTTAAAATAATGGTAAAACTAATAAAAAAAGATTGTGTTCCTTTGAAAAGTCAAATAATTGTAAGCTTCGAGCTTACTAGATTAAAAATACTAGTTTTTGTGGATTTTGACAAAGTATTGCATTGTACAAAATTACAAAAGTATTTGGAAATCTGGTTCTTAAATGAAATTTCCCCAGTGAGTGTAATTTTAATTTTTTAAGTGTACTTAACCTCAGTCACAAATGTTTCGATCAACTTGCCAAAAACTGTTAGAAATACATGTATATTATTTATTTTGGTGCCTATGAGGGTGAAAATTGGATGTAATACCAATTCCATTTGGTACTTTTTGAGTGCATTTGTCGAGCAATGTTTTATTAAATTTTTTTTAAGTAGCGTTACAATATTTTGATTTTTTAAAAATGGAATCACCTATTACTAAACAAAAACTGTGATTTTATTTTTTAATATAAACATTATGTGGAAGACATCGCTTTAAGCGACTGTTACTGACAAGTGAGGCAACGTTTTAATTTAAAAATATGTTCACTTGTAATTTTAAGATATCCAAACAAACGACAATCCCCCAATTTAGTGTACTAAATAGTTACTTTTCTTATTATAACATATTGATAATGTGTTATTTTCAAGTTTAAGTCTTATCTTATTTACCTGACATACCCTATTATATTGTGCCTGTGCTCCACATTGTAAATTAGATTTCAAATTTATTATGTTTTTGTTTGGTAAATAAACACATCAAGCCAGACATTTTAATGAAAGTAATTTTTAGGAATGAAAATAACTATTAATTTTCTGTCTGCAATAAAACCTATATTGAAATTTTAGATTAAACATATTTTATAATATTGTTTTAATAATCTTATATTTCAGATTTCAAAAGGATATAGGAATTGGTAAAAATAAATAATTGGTTGGCTACTATACCGAATGGGTAAATTTTATCTAACAGCTTGTATTTTACTCCAAACAGCTATGATCCAGAGAGGCTTGGACACCTTTTAAGGCTTTATTGTAATACCTATATGAATTTATTGAATTGCTACAAATTTTGTCCTGTCATAAAAAATAAAAAAAAAGATAGTCAACATCATTTGTTTTTACCCTATTAATATTAAAAATGTGAAACGTTGTATGTTTGTCACTAAATCACGAAAAACGGCTGAACGGATTTGAATGAAACCCGCACATAGTGTTTTATTTTCTGAATCGAGATAGTTATGATCCCTGAAAAAGTTTTTGGTTCCTGAGGGGTTCCTTAAAACCAAAATTAACGCGGACGTAGGCGCGGGCGACTCTATTAGTTCATTAGTTTCCTCCTCTTTTTATGAATTCCAGGCGTTATTCTTTACAATAAATATTAAAATAATCAATAATTTTATATATTAAATAACTAATTTGTCCATTCAATTGAAATTTAATAAAAATTATATGGGAATAAGTAACTCGTTATTATACAACGTGTGCAATATGAATACCGTTTCTGCGTACTTTGCTCTGTACATAAGTTCCAATATGGTCACCCTATTTCGTTTTCTTCTCTTTCTATAGAAAGAGACAAGAACCATGCGTAACTGACATCACGGTTTAATTTTTAGGCTTCAATTTAGTACTTGTCTGTAATCCCTCCTCATAGATAACTTCATGGTCTTATTGAATTATGTGTCGCACAGATAAATACGGCCAACGATATTAAATACCCGGTGGCCATCAGAGCAGGTCTGTCAGGGTAGAGTCCAGTTGTATGCGCTTGCAATGTAAGCGACTTTTCAAATACGAGCGACCAATAAGGGCTGGGCGTGGCTACAGGCCGCCTCTATACTTAATTCAAAGATCGAACTCTTATTTTAGCGCATTTTAGTACTAAAGTTATCCGAAGTTTCGTCACGCAGGTGTGCGATAAGCTTAATGCATAATTTACTACAACAGATATCGCATTAACGCATCCGATATTATCGACCGATAATAACGCATCCAACTTTTTGACGCGAATTAATAGAACAAGGATTTAAATTGCCCCATAGGCTATGAGAATATTCATGATTTGACGGATGAGCAGACCTTACGACCATTCGCAAGTCCATGCTTGCGACCTTTCGTCTCAGTGTTGCCACATGGCGCCCGTTATTCCAGAAAACCCTCATTGTCTATTGTTTAAGGAAGACTAGACTAGAAATCATAACCATCATGTTCTTGTTAATCTATGACACAATAGTCTGACAGCTTATATTGTTGTTTTGTATTTGCCGAAAGTGATAATATCTGATTTTCGAATAATTTACAACTAAATGTATTTAATGAGAAGTTATGACAACTTCTGAATTATTATAAACGTCATTTTGTTAAGCCGTTCCGTTTTATTGTTTCCTCGAAAGAAAGTTTTAATGCTCAAAATTTTACATTCTCTATCTTAAATTTTGAGGAAAGTTTAAAGAAGTTTTAAGTAAAATAATAAGATTCACAAACCTCAAACGTATAACCCTTATCATTTATGTAACCACTAAAAACAATAAGGTTAGTATTAACTATTATAGTACAAGATCCAAAGACCGCCAGACCTTACTTATTTTGTCATGGAAAAAATATGAATAATTGAGTAGTATTATTGTGTACAATGAACGTATACATACTTTCTCAGGTGTTCTGTGGGCCAATTTTCGGGTATCAAGTGGCACAAGCACGTAAAAATTTTACTATTTCCAGTCTGGGAACTGATTCCTGATGTTGTAGAGAATATTATAAAGAATTTGAAATTAATATTGCCAGACACATTCTGTCAGCATTTTTACTGCCAGACACTTTTAGGCTAACTTCATATGACCGCGCAGTACCGAGCGGTCATATGAAGTTAGGGTGAGAATAGATATCAGGTATCAGTCTGTAAATAAGTTTGTGTATTTTGCTTTCGACATTTAAAGTGTCTGGCATTAAATACTGCTGACAGAATGTGTCTGCCAGTATTAATTTCAAATTGCTTACAATATTATCTACAACTTACGCAGGAATCAGTACACACCAATATTACTCAATTATCCTTATCCCTACGTATGTTGTAGAGAATATTATAAACAATCTGAAATGAATTAATTTGAAATTGTTTGCAATGTTCTTTACAAAAAAATAATATGATTGTGATGGACTGATTCCTACTTAAGTGACCACCATCACCCATAGGCATCTGCAACGCTAAGAGTGTCACATCTGATCACTTACCATCAGGTGAGCCGTCACCCTATAATATATAAAAAATGAAAGGCCTTTGCACAAGTAGTAGAAACATTAGTGATCCAATGTTGTTGAAACTTAAGTAACTGATGACAAATTTTTGGAAAACCCTGTAAGAGTAGTTTTCGTTTTAGATAAAGAAGTAATGGCTAAGAGTGCGGAAGCCGAGGTGGAGAAAATGAAACTTTTAGAAGAAAGGATCAAAGCACCGTCGATTTGGGGCAGACTTCCATGCGGTTTACGCTTTGAAGATCTACAAGATAGACGTTACGAAGACGCTGTGAGATTCTTAAAAAAACATTTCTTACAAGAAGAGGTTGGTTTTTATTACTTTTGAAATTACAAAAAGAATAGTTGTAATGGGGTAGCATAGCCCCAACCATTCTCTTTGTCCATTTCCTTCATATTTATTTAAAATGTACGTTAATGGTTTTTATTTAGTTTGAATTAAATTCCGTTAAGACGCCCAAAAATAATTTAATTGTGAGTCCAGCAGAAATATCAGGCTTATCGATGGCGAAATAATTTTCGAACCTCCTCTACCGACGTCTACCGCACAGTCTTACAGATTTTTAATATGCGTTATAGTCTATCATTCGTAAATAACGCAACAGCATCAACTTTCAATTTAATCTATATCTATACTTATAATAAATCTGTAGAGAGGTCAATTCTGTACATAAAATATATTTTCAAAATAATTATCAGGGGGTGATTAGTGATCGATACTGATGCCAAAAATTCAATCAGTAAAATTTTTGTCTGTCTGTCTGTCTGTGTGTATGTTCCTTATAGAAACAAAAACTTCTCGACTGATTTTAACGAAACTTGGTACAATTATTCTTCATACTCCTGGGCAGGTTATAGTATACTTTTCATCACGCTACAATCAATAGTAGCAGAGTAGTGAAGGGAAATATTGGGAAAACGGGAGAAGTTACTCCATTTTTTAAGCTTTCGTCGCGTGTGCAGCCTTAATGGTTAAAGTTACATAGAAATCATGTATGACGGAAATATTCTACATAAAATTGTCTAAAAAATATCCCGCAACAGCATATGTCTATCTTTTATGGTTGACTCACAATAACACGTGTAATTATATAAATCACTAAGGCCACTAGTAATAAATATTTCACCAGGCGCAGTGCACACCTGGAAAGGAACGGTGAAGATACTAAGAACTTAATATTTAGCTTAAATCCAAATTCCTACAGCATAATTTTAAAAATGTCATGGAAAACACGAAATAATACACAAGCGGCACACAGTGCTTGCGAAGCAGCCCGAGAGCACAGATTACATAATTAGTTACTAGCCGAGAGCTAGAGCGCGACTATTCCGACGCGACTGTTCCGTGGCTCTAGGCTGCGCTCAAAGTCCCCGCTCGCTGTTGCGTGGTTCTTGACCGCACTTGGAGTCGCGCTTATTATCTCTGCCGCGCCTTTCTCGGTGTGCGCTGCGCCTTATGGAGCGATTACATTTGGTCGTTAGCTCGAATACGAGTGTCAATGGAATTCGGGTAAATGACTAAGTGTAAATGAATGGAGTCAAGTATACCCGTATTCGGGTAGTTTTTGTTTTATTACCCATCACCGTCTTCCAGCCCGTATTCCCGTGTAATTAATTCGAGTACCTGAATTCGAGTAATATCTTTCGTGCACCCGAACTAACTAACGACCAAGTGTAATTGAGCTTTTAGTGTTGAAATAATAATGTTATGGTTCCAGATAACATACAGATCAGTGAAGTTAGTTGAAGATACGGAAGGGGCGGATGAGTTTGTTCACAATGTGAGGATATGGATGAAAGACAAGATGTCCATAGCAGCTGTGAAGGAAGGCACTGATAAACTAGTTGGAGTTCTAATAATGAGGATACAGGAAAAGAGTAAGGAAGCTCATTATTCCTATAAAGTAATTATTATAAAACTAATCCTCTGTCTCATGTGTGTACATTTTTGATAATATAAAAAACTCCTGAAAGGGACACTGCAATAAAATGCAGCTTTAACCATTATTAGTTATATAATTTTTCACAAAAAAAAATATATATATCTTTAGTACAAAGACAAAATTGCTTATACGCCACTTTAGTCGAAAATAAGTTTTAGGTGTATAATCATAGTAATCAGTTATTTTTTTTTCTGGGTTGATCTGATGTCGTTACAACCTTACGATCACCTTTACAATGAGTTATGGTTTATTTGTGATAAAAATAAAACTTTGATCCTCGTTTCTGTCAAGTTACAAAAGTGGCGTTAAGCTATTATGATTTACCACAGTCGATGATGAAAACACGAAAACATAAATATAAGAAAATAGACTACAACAACGCGAAGTAAGGAACGTTAACCATTAATCTATAAAGTTAGTAAAGAAATTTTAAATATTTTTAATGTATAGCAAATTTAAAGGAATTTACAGAAAATCCATTCAGTATTTTTCACTGCTTTTGTAAAATTTTATAAATTTTATCTGTAAGTTACGTGTACAACAGAACTGATAACATTTCACTTGAAATATAATAAACATGTGAAATGGATCGCGCTTAGCCTCGGGTCAGTAGGCAAAATTCTCTGGACTCACCATAACAATATAGGTAACACTAGTGGCCCGCCCTCGCTTCGCTTCGGTGTAGAGCTGTAGTGTAAACTATAGTTTTTGTTCTCAGACTTGTGCTATAAACAATGACTTTATTTATATAATTACACGTGTTATTGTGAGTCAACCATAAAAGATAGACATATGCTGTTGCGGGATATTTTTTAGACAATTTTATGTAGAATATTTCCGTCATACATGATTTCTATGTAACGTTAACCATTAAGGCTGCACACGCGACGGAAGCTTAAAAAATGGAGTAACTTCTCCCGTTTTCCCAACATTTCCCTTCACTACTTTGCTGCTATTGATTGTAGCGTGATGAAAAGTATACTATAACCTGCCCAGGAGTATGAAGAATAATTGTACCAAGTTTCGTTAAAATCCGTCGAGTAGTTTTTGTTTCTATAAGGAACATACACACAGATAGACAGACAGACAAAAATTTTACTGATTGCATTTTTGGCATCAGTATCGATCACTAATCACCCCATGATAGTTATTTTGAAAATATATTTCATGTACAGAATTGACCTCTCTACAGATTTATTATAAGTATAGATAGATGTTTATCTGTTATATCATGTGTTAGTAAAATTTGTGCTATACATATATTTCGCATTTAGTTCAAGAGCTTATTCACAAGTTAATTAACAGCAAAACACAATTTGAATTCCTGAATTTTAAGCACGTTTAATATCAAAAGGTACGAGACTTTCATTACAAATAAAGTTGCACAACTATTACATTGTGAACGCATAAACTGTTCACTTTATTGTTGGACACTACTTGTTGCTGCGATAAGTTCGCCTTGTTATGTTGCAATGGAATGTTAGACTGAATACCTAATGTTGGACTTTTTTGTATTCATGCTGCCCTCAGCATATATACCCTTCGTAGATTACCTTTACCGCGTCACCAATGGGGGATGGCGAGATCCTTAAAGGACCTCAAGCAGGCATTGGCGAGTGCCTCTAGAGGTCTTCCGTACAGGGTCGTGAGTAGGAGAAATTATGTTTGTTAAATTTACTTATTGCTTATTTTAGATAAAAAAAATATATATTTAAATTATATTCGTGTATATGTCGTCTGAATTGCATCGTTTGCAGACGTGGTTGCTGGAAATTCAAACTGATATGTAAATATGCGTCACATGTTGGCTATTTGCTCATTAACAACAACATTATCATATACATAGACCCTGAAAATGATTCACTCTTTAGTGGCCAGTGGTGTAATTAAACGACATGTGCCAGTTAATGTTTCCATGAAAAATAAAAACCTCATCAATTGACAGGACCATCTTGTAGCAATTGTGGCGTTGGGTGGTGGCGTGATGAGATGTTCGTTAATATACAATATGACCTCTGACAATAGGACTGACTGTTTAATTAAAAGTTGAAATTCCATCCATCTATTTACCTCGCAATGGATTCAAAAATACAATCTTAAGTATAACTTTAAAAGATATCTTTATCTACATTTTGTGGTAAGTTGGCTAATACTGGTTCAAGCAAAGGCATTAAATTAACTGGATACAAACTCTTTTGCTACCGACCTATTTAAGATGTAGGTCGAATAGAATCTCACTCCATATGCAAACTTCATGCTATAAAACCGAAAAAAAAACAAAAGTATCCAGCATTTGTGTTACTCGGGCCCCGCCCAATGCGATCTCGGTACACTATTCGGAATCTATTTGCGTATCTATCGATTCAAATAAAACTCGATTTGGAATGTATCGATGGCAGTAACATTAGGGACCAGATTCTTTGAATGCTCTGAGCCTAAATTTTTACTGCATCCGTAAAAAGAATTCCGATTCAGCTTTAGGATTTTCTTATTGGTTCAAGTTATAAATGCGAGCGTTTTACAGACAAACAGATTTGATGACCAAATTAGATAGGAAGGTAACTGAATTTTAAAGGAATATATTAAAAGGACGCAAAAAAAAACACAGTAAGTCTAAACAGCTTAGATAGGGCAATCATATGTTATGTTATTACTGATATAAACAGATTAAGCTCAAGCACACTGTAATTTAAAAATCTTTAATCTTTAATATTGAGTGCTTGAAATAATTGTAAATATAAAAGCTTCAAATTAAAAAAAAAACATATATTGGTATGTAGATACAAAATTAATAATTATATTGTAGATTACAATATTTGTGTCAAAGTAGCAAAACATAAATATTGTAAAATGAAATGTATTAAAATTCAAGATAAAATCGCTTATCGCTCGCTTTTGTGTTTGCGCCGCGTATTTTGTACGTAAATTGGATTCCAAGTAGTGAATCGGGATAGGTCTATATTAGGGGGTTGCGATGGCACCCACTGAATAAGGAACAACGTAAGGTATACTTGCTTCTACCTTGCTTCGAATTTCACGGTAACTAGAAAATTTGTTAAGGTCGCAGTGTTGGTAATATCTCCGCTCTGAAAAAATTGTAACTACGACTCTAAACATCTTTGCGAACCTTGGTGGTTTTGTGGTGGCGACATCTACATGCCCCACATATAATGAACATAGAGGAAGTAGTCACTCGCCTCCTTAAGAGATGGCGCTACCGGCGCTGCGTTCACAACGGAAGCCTACATCGCGCAACAGAAATTCGGAGCCAAACACTCCATATATACGATGCCCGACCAACAGCAGTCGACCCGCGGCCCCCGAGCTACCATCATCCAGCTCCAGGAGGAAGATCTTCCCCTTTGACCTTCCCACAGTTTATATAATGTTCTTATCTTATTTATCGAAATTTGCTTTCTTACATCGGGGCTGAAACCTGAGAGCAAGAATGTAATTAACATCACTCCTTTAGGCACTCTTTTTTTAAAACGGGTTGGGTATATTATGTTGATGTTAACAATACAGGGAGAAAAAACAGCCCTTGCTGAGTTTCTTGCCGGTTCTTCTCAGTACAAGGTCTCCCGCCGTAGTTTTGCGAACCGATGGCGTAGCTTCTTGACCTTCACAAGTACTTGTATCAGCCTAGACTGAATAAATGATTTTTGATTTTGGTTATGGTGTGGTGTGGCTTAAAATTTGAATAACAGTTCACTAAGCAATCATTTATCAGTTTAACGTCTGTGCAGACGAGAGAACTTGCCAAATATAAAATGCCAAAATAGATCGCTCACAACTGCATTGAGTAACACATACGAGGGACTAAAAGTACCGCGTACAAATGTCTCCCGAATAACCGAGGATACCGAGAGATTGGACTGGAAAAAGTACGGGGCAGTCCCCCTCAAAAAAATGGAACTCATGTGACTGGGTGCAGCAACGCACACAGCTAATTTTAGTCTGGGTTGCGTGCTCGATCCGATATAAAGGGATGGACCTAGTATTTTTTTTTAAATGTCTTCTCTTTTCCGTAAACTTCAAATTAATTACGCACAACGCAGTCTCAGAATATTTATTTTCATAGCGTGCGCTTTTCTAAATTTTCGAGCAACAAAATAATGTTTGCACTCGCACACCGTGTGCGTTGAGTCCGTTGCAAGATCGCGGCGGTTATTTTTTTACGATTTAGGTACTGTTGTCCGCTACTGTCAAAAGTCCTTCGTCTGCGCAGACCATTAGTGGTACAATAACTTTCGCTATTCGCTTGGGAAAGTTAGCAGCTGGTGCATCCTATATTTCTCCTTAGCACACAGATCAGCATGGAAAAACGATAAACATTATAATGCCTGTAGACAAATCTCATTTTTTTTATTAGTATACACTACTAGGTATGCCACCGTGATTCAAAAAGCACCAGGCAACTTAGTGAAACAAATATTTATTTGATGAGGTGAAAAACTCATGATTTACGTGATTTACCGTACAAGTTGATTGGAGTCCGGAAACCTCTTTGCTACTTCCACACCTATATATATTTATGTTTCAGATGCATTTACGCGTACATTTAGCCGCGTGAAACTTACTCACAACCCGCTGTATACTACAATCATGAAGTTCTACAATGAGGTGGAAAATCCCGTGGACATTTTCGAAAAACTTGGCGTCAGGAAATATTTTAAAGTTTACATCCTTGCTTTGAAACAGAGGTACAGACATAGAGGTAATATTTCATGCAATATTGTCGATACACGTAAAAGAGACATAATTAATATATTGTATACGGATCGCGATGCTGAAAGGGCAATGGGTGGGGTACATTGTTCGGCGAACCGATGGACGATATAATTGGTTTAATACTACTCGTACCAGTATGGCAAAAAAATCAGTCATCACATAGAATTGAGTTACAGCAGATTTACCCCTCGAATTGAAGCGCCCGTATGGGGAACCTTGCATAAGACCACAGTAAAATTACATTACCTTTTGGTGATTTTGTATTTCCGCTAGGTTACCAGGTGTAAGGAATTGGGTTCAGGTCGGCAAGATGTTGAGGCTTCTGCCGCATTATTTATCTTTGCATCTGGATTCCACTAACACCTAATATCAGGGGTGGGGTAATTTGCTGAGCCTCGTTTAAAAATGTGACATTATAGTGACCGATCAAATTTTTATTTCTCTTGTACCCAATCTGAAAGGCTGTTCAGCGATAAAATTAACTATCAAGAAGCCATTTTATACATAATATGTCTAGAATTTTACACTTAACATAAAAATAAGCTTATATTATACAGTCAAAACATCGTTCGCAGGTATAGCTAAAGAGATGTTGAAGGCAGCGATCCCTCTTGCAGCAAGTGCGAACGTGCCAGCAATCGCTGGAATATTCACCACCGCAAGGAGTCAGCAGATCGCCGAAGAGATCGACTTCGAGAAACTTCACGAAATATACTACATTAGATACCTCATCGATGAGCAGGTGAGTAATCATCATGATCATCAGCTTTATAGCATCCTCATTGCTAGGGCTTAGGCCTACCCAATGGATGGAAGAGTGGGCCATAATCCAACACGCCGGCTCAATGAGGATTTGTGCTAACAACTACGGATGCAGCCGGAATCAAGGACGTGAGGTGACGAACCACAAAGGAGCTAATCGCTGGCCATTCAAGCTTCTCAAGGTGAGCTAATGCCAGAGCGAACTTTGTAAATTAAAAAAAGCTGATGCTTTTCTCGAAAAAAATAAGGATCAGCAGCTAAATCATTGTTAGGTTAGTAGGTATAAGGTTCAGACTAACTAATCTTCCTCTTTTTGTTTTTACTCAGCTCCACTGGAAAACACGTTGTTGTATGGGGGCATGTGTTTTACGATCTATCGTAGTGTTCGTAGGCGGCAATAATTACAATATTAGATAACTTGCGTTCACCTGTTCTCGGTCCTGCGTGGAATATTGCTCGCACCTCTAGATTGGCTCCGCCAAGTTCTTGCTCGATGCTTTGGATAGGTTACAGCGGCGCGCGATCCGCATCATAGGCAATCAGGCGGTGACTAAACACCTCGAACCTCTTCAATTACGCCGTGACGTGGTGTCACTAAGCGCGTTCTATCGCCTGTACCACGGCGAGTAATGACAGAGGACCACGTGCGCTGGCCTACGTTGTCACCTTCTAACTGTGGCCACAATTTCAACGCGTACAAAGAAATTTGGCGACTCATTTCTTTGTCGCACTATCCGTATATGCAATGCTCTGCCCGCTCACGTGTTCCCTCCCTCTTACAACCTGGGATCCTTTAAAAGAGGCGTGAAGAAACAACATGCGGGTCGGCAGGGTGAGGATGGCTGGTGTGGCAGGTAGAAGTGCTGTATCAGCTATCTTCGCGTCTGGACTTCACCTTCACTTAACATCAGGTGAGGTGGAGTCATTTGTTGGACCTATCTATAAAAAAAAAAACAAAAACCTACGTAAATATAAAGTAACATAAAACTAGGGTTAATGCACGATACTTTATTTATTTATTGACGTTTCGCAGCCTTTCCAGGACTGCATCGTCAGAATACTATTTTTTTATTAACATTAACATTACATTGACCCGTTAAAACTAGTTTTATTTAATGAGTGATGTGCGTGAAAACCTATGAAACAAATAAAGTAACATTTTAACGTATAATTGACAGTATGCATCCCCATGCATACTGTCATTATGCATTCAAATGAAAGGTCACTCACTGGTGTAGCCTTGGACATGAAAAGGCCTAGAAATTATTGCAAATGATTTACCCTAAGAAAATAGGCGATGCAAGTACTGACAAATTGAAAATTTTATTTTCAGAGTAGATAAATAAACAAGGAAGTGTTGAAACGATGACGAAAAGATAGAATTTTTGATAGTGTTAAAATAATAATCGTACAGCCTTATTAATAAATGAATAATAAGCTTTAGAAAGTTGTTGTGTTTTGGTTACTTTATGTTTACGTAGGCGCTTGCATGTTATCTGATAGTGTGGTCACTGCCCTACTACGATACATCACTCAAAAAATGTCATTTGTAATTTGGTACCGGCGAAAAAACTGCGTGGACTAGCCAAGGTTCTTGTTCGTTTACAATGAGAGGCTTAGAGAATATAATAAAAAAATAAATACAAAATAGCATCTACATTTTGAGTATATTTATTATATTACGCAAACAGAGTTTTGCTTGTAAAAATATCCTTTTTCGTAAATTCGGCGAAAAGGGTATTCTCACGAGTAAGGAGGACAGTCTGACCGCAAGTCGGGACTAACTACACTTAGTTAAAACTTTTAAATTTATGCTCGCACAGTGAATGTTATAAATTCGTAAACGTAATTTAGGAGTAACTTTCTTGAAATTACGAAAAATTACGTCTTATTGTGTAATCAATTTATGGTTTCAAGTTTTCACTCTTTACATGTTAAAATAAATATCAGCAAATACATTTTTTATTTAAAAAGAGTAACAATCAAGCGTTTTGCGACCCTGATGGTAAGGGGCCACCATAACCTATAGATGCTTGCGATACCAAAATTATCACCGCGCCATTACCCACCTAGAACCAATCCCTATCCCATAGAGCTCGGGAACTTTTCTCACCGACAGAAACACAACACCATCAAAGCTAGATAAATTTTAGTGTGGTTTTCTGTAAGGTTACTTCCTGAGACAGGAGCTCCAATACTAACGGAAACTTCTCTATGCACTACCTTAGAGAAGTAGCTACCTCTTTAAATAGCAGCAAATTTAAATATTCATATTGTTTAATCACAGGTGGTGTTCTGGGACACGGGTCTTGGTAACTACAGCGCAGCACTGATGGCATATCGAATACCGGAGATCGAGGAGGCAGTTGAGATCAAACAACATGGGTCCTCTAGGTTCAATGTACAACCTTTAGATGACGAAGAAAAAATACCTGAATAATATACTTTTTGTTGTTCCTTTTAATGGCCAGTTTCAATAAACAAACTCTTCTAAACTTCGAGATCGAATTCAACTTTTTAAATTCGATATTGGTTCACGTTAATGGTGCAGTTAGGGATAAATAATAATACATAACAACTGTTGCTACGGAGCGGAACCAGAATAAGCTCATCTCATCATTTACTGATGATTCATTAAAGAAACATTAGTACTTTATAATGAGGCCTTGTATAAACATCATATCTTATGCCTATGCATTCGGGTAATCAAAAGTAACACCGTAAGTTAGATAGACCACATAATTTTGTTTTATTAAAAGTATTTGACCCACATTCATACAATAACTAAACGTATTATATGTACCTGGTGTATTTTATAAGTAATTTGGTCTTTTATATTCAAAAATATTTATATAACCTTCACCAAGTCAAATGCGATCATCTCAAAAATAAACTAATTCAATTCAAAAAACGAAACGGCATACCTAACCGATCCACAAAGGTCTAAGTTTTGTGTGTTTAATATTAAAGAAAATAAAGAATTGTACATACATGCACCCTGAATATATTACACGCTTTTGTCTGGGGCAGTCGTGTAAAAATAGTGACGAATTCAGAACCTCTTTTCATATTAATAAAAATTCAAGAGAATTCAATCAACATTATTGTACTCAAAATATTAGAATTGACAGTTCTGCACAAAATCATTCTTTATGTTGAAACATAAGCGAAACCTTCTCTGGAATAACATGACTCTGAAGCATATATCGTTGAAACTTTGTACTGAAAACGTAAGCACAGCGCTACCAAAACATTCTATTTCGGTGAATTGCAGCATTACATTGTCAAACAACGGATTACGAGTGTCTTTATCGTTCAGTGCCAACGAGAGGACGCCTCGCAGTCGTCCCTCAAAAGAATTTAACGGCGCGTCCATAAAACTCCTAATCGGCGTACGTCCGGTGAAATGACAGCAATTTGGATCGGCCATTTTCTATCTTCGGCTGTTAAAAGCTACAGGTGGCGAAGCGTGAGGATACGATATTGAATTGTAGAAACTCCCTTTTACTAATGCAGCGCGCAATTTTATTACTCTCTTTCCAGCAAATTTAAACGGGCCTTCATTCGCGAGGATGCCATTTACTAATGAAGAAAACGTCCAGTCTGACCCGGACTTCCGACTTTTTCCATAGATCCAAGAAATAATGTCTGCACACTAAGAACACAAAAAAAAACAAATTGAAGAAACATTCGACCATACTGGCAAGGTGAAGAAGGCTGGTGTAGTACATCAAAACTGTTGCACCAACTATTTTCGCGTCAGGGCTTTACCGGGGGGCTACCTAACGATATAAAAAACTGTAGCGTACTTTTATAATTGTAGCTACTTGTTGTTAACTTAAATTAATTTATAATTGTATATTTTTGTTAAAGTTAAATTTATGTGTATTCAAACCTTTACATATATATATAAAATCTATATTAATAATAATGTAAATATTCAATTTCATTAATAAGTAATATAAAAATTTTTGTTGAAATAATATTTTAAGTTCGACAAAGAGACATGCATATTTCTTTATGTATAGCGAGTGCGAATGACGCGCGCACCGCGATCGGTGTCTATACCGGTCGTTCGTTCGGTCTCCGCGCAGCGGGCGGCGAACGGTGGGATGCGCCCGAATTTTGAACTTTATTGTGATGAGAAAAATAACAGCATGAGACCATATGTACCGAAACAGTTTCGCCGACGAGTGTTTGAGTCACTACATTCCCTTAGTCACCCTGGCGCAAATGCTACAGCTAAATTAGTTGCAGAGAGGTATGTCTGGCCGGGAGTGAAGAAAGACTGTAGAGAGTGGACTCGCTCCTGTATATCCTGTCAACGAGCAAAAGTTACTAGACACGTTTCGTCACCTTTAGGTGCTTTTAAGTTGCCAAGATCAAGATTCATGCATATCCATATAGATCTCATAGGACCACTTCCCTTGTCACAAGGATATAGGTATTGCCTCACAGCCGTCGACCGATTTACACGTTGGCCTGAGGCAATCCCTCTCCAAGACATTACAGCTGAAGCAGTAGCAAAAGCGTTGCTTGGTGGGTGGATAGCGCGATTTGGTTGTCCCACTACAATCGTAACCGACCGAGGTAGACAATTTGAATCTACATTATTCAAAAGGTTATCGGAGCTCATCGGTATTGAACACAAAAGGACAACAGCATATCACCCAGCATGCAATGGCCTAGTGGAGAGATTCCACAGACAACTGAAAGCTGCAATCACTTGCCACTCGAATGCCAACTGGGTTGAGTCTCTCCCCCTTGTACTCCTAGGCATACGAAGTGCTTATAAAGAAGATCTGAATGCTTCATCAGCTGAACTCACATATGGTGAAAATCTGAGACTACTCTGAAGACAATTCTACTGCTGATGTCTCAGATTACTTGGCAAGAATACGCTCATTTGCCAAAAAACTCCAGCCAGCACCAGCTTCGCGTCATGGCAAGCAAGCAGTTTTTGTTTTCAAAGACCTTGCTAATGCCACTCACGTTTTTCTGCGCGATGACACATGTCGTGGTTCATTTACCCCAGCGTATTTAGGTCCATATGAAGTCATAGAAAGAGGGGATAAAATGTTCAAATTAAGCATACGTGGTAACACTGTCACAGTATCGATAGACCGCCTGAAACCAGCCTACATACTCCATGACACATACACACCACCTCACAACATCACCTCAAACACACTAACACAATATTCATCACACAATACTACTGAAGCTGATAGAAGTGATATCCGAAGGACTCGATCAGGTCGTATTGTTCACTTTCCAGATTATTATCGCCCTTGAGACGGTCTCTGGAGCGGGGTGATGTAGCGTACTTTTATAATTGTAGCTACTTGTTGTTAACTTAAATTAATTTATAATTGTATATTTTTGTTAAAGTTAAATTTATGTGTATACAAACCTTTACATATATATATAAAATCTATATTAATAATAATGTAAATATTCAATTTCATTAATAAGTAATATAAAATTTTTTGTTGAAATAATATTTTGAGTTCGACAAAGAGACATGCATATTTCTTTATGTATAGCGAGTGCGAATGACGCGCGCGCCGCGATCGGTGTCTATACCGGTCGTTCGTTCGGTCTCCGCGCAGCGGCCGGCGAACGGTGGGATGCGCCCGTGCCCGCCGCGGCCCGGGAGTCAGCGGCATACTATAACATTGAATGCATGTCGCTCTGGCTTAGCTCGCTCACATTTGCATTGCATATACCTACTCTCTTAGTCTCTGTTTCTTCATTATTATTTATATTCAGTCTAACTATTCTCCTTCTATCTCTCTTGTGCTGTGTTGTGACTGTTTAATATATATGTACACTGTGTTTGTGAAGTAATTACAAATCTGTCAAATTTAACGGTTGGACTTGTTATTTTTCCGCACAAGAAACAAAGCGCAACGTTTCTCCCGCTTTATTGGTGACCCCGTTAGAACACTTAGAAAGATGGACGACAAGGACGACACTGGAGCAGCGGAGACTTACCGTGTGGGGATAAGAGTTCCACCTTTCTACCCCGAGAAACCGGCTTTATGGTTCGCGCAGCTTGAAGGCCAATTTCAGCTGTCAAACATAACCACGGATGCCACCAAATTTTATTATGCAATGGGACAATTGGACCCGCAGTATGCAGCAGAGGTGGAAGATATTATTACAACGCCACCTACCTCCAACAAGTACGAAAAATTGAAAAGCGAGCTAATAAAACGACTTTCTGCGTCTAGGGAGCGCAAGGTAAAGCAGTTACTGGTTCATGAAGAGTTAGGAGACAGAAAGCCGTCACAGTTTGTCCGCCACCTTCAAAATCTCGCAGGGCCCGGCGTTCCGGAAGAATTCTTACGCACCATTTGGACCAGCCGCCTACCCTCCAGTACACAAACGATCATCGCATCTCAGCCCAAAGCATCATTGGAAGAACTTGCTGAACTGGCTGACCGCATTCACGACGTCGTCTCCCCAAGCATGCAGGTAGCGTCAACTTCTAGAACTTTACCATCTTCTAGAAACTCTGTAGACCCATATGCCCAGATAAGTGATCTCACTAAACAGGTTGCAGCGCTGACCGCCAAAATTGATAGAATGTCACGAAATAGACAACGGATACCGAGCAACCGAAACCGTTCAAATTCGAGAACGAGGTCTCAATCCAATTATAGGAAATTTCCTACCTGTTGGTATCATGCCAAATTTGGAGATAAAGCACATAAATGCGTGAAGCCGTGTGACTATAAGACGCCATCGGGAGACGCACCGGGCAATCGGTAATGGCGGCCAACGATTGCTACAGCACAGGTCGCCTGTTTGTTACGGATCAAAGAACGAAAACGCAATTTTTAGTGGACACGGGTAGTGACCTATGTGTTTTCCCTCGAGCTAATTTAAAACAACGCCGACCTAAATCAAGTTATGAATTGTGTGCAGCTAATGGTACTTCTATAGCAACGTACGGTTATATTAATTTAAATTTAAACTTAGGCTTGCGCCGCGACTATGTCTGGCGATTTATTGTAGCGGACGTAACAAAGGCGATAATTGGTGTAGATTTTTTATCATTTTATAATATTGTTGTTGATTGCAGGAACCAACGACTTATTGACAATAATACAACGCTTGCAACCGCGGCTTTGCCTGCCCGACCTACGGATATCATTTCTTCGGTAAAGTGCATTATTGGTAAGTCGGTGTATCATGACATACTAAGGGAGTACCCCGACATTACTCGCCCACATGGTACACATCACAAACCAACTCATAACACAATACACCATATACGCACTACACCGGGACCGCCTATTTCTAGTACACCACGTAGACTTTCTCCTGAAAAACTGAAAATAGCTAAGGAAGAGTTTGCTACTATGCTTCAGAGTGGTATAGCCAGACCTTCCGAATCTTCTTGGTCATCACCACTCCACCTGGTACCTAAAAAAGACAA